TAGACCAGGCTGGCCTCGAACTCACAGAGATCCGCCTGGCTCTGCCTCCCGAGTGCTGGGATTAAAGGCGTGCGCCACCACCGCCCGGCAAACATGTGGTTTCTGAAGGGCCATTCTTTGTTTGCATTTCTGGTTTTTGTGGCCACATGAGATCTCTAGGTTGGAGGAGCCTTAGGTTAGTGTCTCCAGTTCCCTGCACAGCAGCCCTGCTGGATGGTTGTGTACACTCTCATGCTGGTGAGTCTGAACCTTGTCAGAACTCCGTTTTGCTCACTGTCACTACCAAAGAATCACTTAGTGAGGTTACATAAGGGCTTTCTAGAATCTAATTTTGAGTTGTCCAGAATCCAGGGTTTGAGTCTGTCCCTGCAGTTTGGTTGTGACCAGGAGGGAGCAGCATTGTGCCTTTAATGGGGATGTGCTAAGGCCCTAGAGAGCCTTGGCTGTGGAGGGTTGGAGTCTCCAAGTCAGTGAGAGCTGGACACAGCGACTTGTTGCTTGATTCTTTGCTGCCTTTGGCTTCTTTGGGGGAACATGGAGGAGACATATCTGTATCCCACGTCATACCCTAGGCTGTACCCCTACCCTTTAAGCCCCAGCCTCTGGCCAGGAGGGAGAAGCGCTCAGGTGCACTGTAATATAACAGGCTGACATAGAAAGGTTGACTCAGTGTCCCAGGAGCCCAGGAGGCACAGCTGCCACCTTAGGACTTAGGAGTTCCTTTACTGGGGAGAGGGAGAGTGGAAACCGTGCAGCTGCGTGTGTGATGATAGTTTTGGACCAGGCCTTCTCGGTAGATCAGAGTGTCTCCCCGAGTGTTCTGTGTGGAAGGCTTTACAGCTGGTAAATAACCTTTCTTTCTGTGTCTGCTGCTGCTAACTGGGCTAGTCTTTCCCTCTCTTCTCCTGATACAGGCTATGGGGGAAGACATTGTCCCAGAGAAAATCAAAGATGAAGTGCATTCAGAGGTGAAGTGTGTTGGCCCCGCAGCCCTGGCCGCCTTGGTGATCGCATCCTCCGAAGAATTTGAAGACAAGTGGTTCAGAAAGATCAAAGACCATTTCTGTTCCTTGGAAAATCAGTTCCACGTGGAGATACAGATCACAGCTTAGAAAAGCACGTCAAGACCCAAACATCTTGTGCTGTGTTGTCCTTGTTTACTTTAGGCAAGGTCTGTGTAATCATGGAAAACTGAAATGAAGATGATTCTTTATACTGTTTATAAAAACTTCTCTCCCAGGTTATTTCATCTGTTTTCAGTTTTGCTATTTATTTTTGTGTTTTTAGGCCCTCATGTACTGTCTTGTAGGTCTCTGCCAACCTAGCAGGCAGCTCTTGGGAAAACGATAAAGGGGCTGACCTAGCTTTTGTGAGGGTTGATTGTGACTGACGTTCCAGATGTTTCTGTCCATCACAGTGAGGACAAGGATCAGTCACAGTGGCCAGGAAGCAGAGGGAGACAGAGAAGGGACTAGAACAATACAGCCCTCAGGGACATGCCCACAGGGACCCACTTCCTCCAGCTAAGACCTGCCACCTAAAGTTTCTACTGCCTCCTTGTGTGACCTCAGCAGTGACTCTGTGAGGATAGTTCATATTCAAGCCCTGGATGTTGGCAGAAGACAGGATTCCTGAGTCAGAGACCGGATTCCATCACTCAGGGCCAGCAAGCAGGATGAGCCTGGGCATATTTACGTCAGCTACTTTTGCCTCCAGGTCCTAAGGAGGCTGGCTGTACACGTGAGCACACAGGAATGCTTCCTGTCACACTGTGAATGTGCATTACTGTAATTCACATAGCCAACATGCCCTGCAGGAGAAGAACCCTGGGCTGAGGAAGTCCAGATTGTTAGGATGCTGGGTAGCCCAGATCTTTGTCCTATCCTTTAGCCACATGTACCACGGTGCCTAAAATTGTCAGCATTTACAAAGGGCTATTTTCTTACTCAAGGAATTATCCAGGATGGATTTGCTTTTTTCTAGTGGAAGTGATAAGGTAACAGACAGACAAGGGGCTGATTGTGCTCAGTCTGATGACTCTGAATTGGTCAGCGTGACCAGCAAGTGCAAGGTTAGTTTCTCAATGGGAAACAAAAGACTGTACAATTAACAGGCGTTGCAGTTATAGAAACCGTTAACAATGGAGCGCCCGTTCAGCCATCGTTAATTGAGTTCATATCATGTGTCAGTCACTGAATGATTCTGGGGAGACGTGGGCTGGAGTTTGTGGGCTAGCGGTGGATCACCCTCAGGGACATACCCTGGCATGGCCTCCCATGCCCCTCCGAGTGCAGCTGTGGGCACCTGGAGCTCTCCTGTCCACAGTTCCTTAGCTTTCTGAAGGACCCTCCTCCGTCTTCAGTGGGTAGCCAATTCACAGGTTTGGTTTCCTAGAAGTCATCCTGACCCCCAAATGATGCTAGGATCCCCTCTTTTTTGGCCTCCCTTGCCAGTCCCTTACTCTTTGTTATTTTCGTGGCTGTTTCCTGTGATAGAATCAACGTTCTGTAAAGCCGAGGACTGCCTAGTTTATGCTTCTATCTCCAGGGAAAATTATCAGGCATTTTACTAAAAATTCACTTTTAAGAATGGCTGATGTTTTGGGTTTGCATAAAAGCTAACATGCCTTAGATCTGATACGGGGCTGAGGCAATCCCGGTACCTGCCCATTTCTCTTTCTGTAGGCGAACCCTTTTGTCCTGTATGCCTAGATTTCCTGGAAAGGCTTCCTCTCCTCCCCCAGCCCTGGGTTCCAGCCCCACCCCAACCCCAGTCAGCTTCACCTGTGCTTCATGCTCTCAGTTCTCTGGTTCCCCTCCCAGACTCCCCACCTACACCTGGTGGCCTACTGGTTTCCATGACATCTTGGCACAGCTTACCACCTCACCTTCCTGGCAGGGGGTGACCAGTGAGGACCAGGCTCATCTAGCTCCAAAGCCTCAGCTGCCACTGAGCGTGGGAGAGGCATCAGGAGGCCAGGGTAGCTGGGTTTCATCATCCAGTTCTTCCAGTCATTTCCAGCACAGACAGGGAAGGTAATGAGTTGGGCGATGACTCTGCCGCTGTCTGTTCACACAGCTCCACCCTCTTGCCAATGAGTGAATCACTCCATGTGAGCACATGGCCGCCACAGGGATTACTGCCTGCTCTCCAGCTAGGGCGGGACATTGAATTGGTTACTTCTCTCTCGGACCAAATACCCAACCAGAAACCTTTAAAGAGGGAAAGGTTCCTGTGGGCTCTGAGTTGGAGAACACAGTCCATCATGGAAGGGAAAGGCCTGGGGCTGGAGCTGGGGCTGAGCTCATGTGGGATCTACAGTCAGGAAGCAGAGAGATGGATGTGTGTGTATGTGTGCTCAGCTCGCTCTCCCCTCCCTATTGTCTAGGACCTCCGCCCGCCCGTGGGATGGTGCAGAACAGTTACCACGAGTTTCCCTCCGCAGTTCAACTTCTCGGGAAAAGCCAGCCCCCTCGGACACTCCCCCCCCAGGAGCCTAGGTGATTCCAATCCCGCCCCACTGACAATGAAGATTAGCTGCCACAGACCCCTTGCACTCTTAGAGGTCCTCACTGCGGTCCTCTCGCCCAGACAGGACTCTGTAGCAGTTGAGGGACACGCGCAGGTCCGAGCACCCCGAACCTCGTGTTGCCGACGGGTCTTGCCTTTTACTCCTCCTCCTCTTGCTAAGAATCGTTAGGTTACCTTCCGAAAGCCAGTCCCCAAGGTCCACTCCCTTATGTGGCCACTGACTCATCCTTGAGACAAAACACCAGGGGCCAACAATCAAAATTCATTATTTGGGGCGGGAGAGAGGGCTCAGTGGTTAAGAGCCCTGGCTGCTCTTCCAGAGGACCTGGGTTCAATTCCCAGCACCCATGTGTCAGCTCACAACTGTTTGTAACTCCAGTTCCAGGGAATCTGACATCCTCACACAGACACACATGCAGACGAGAACCAATGCACATAAGCAAAAATATGTCTTAAAAAAATTAAATAAAATTCATCATTTGGCTATCATGTCCAATCAGGATTTACCAACTCACCCCAGCACAGACTTCCCCCTTTTTCTCCTTAAAAACCCACTCCTATAACAAACAAACAAACAAACAAACGCCTATTCGATGCTGCTGCTGCTGCTGCTTGTCTGCCTTTGGAGCCTCCTCTGACCCCCCCACCCCCATCCTGGGTAATAAGTCTCCTTTGTGCTGAGATTTTGGTGTCTGGATGTATCCTGTTCTGACCCCAAGGGGCCCGACCTCCCTGACACTGGGTTTTTGAGCTGGTAAATGTCTTCTATCTTTTACAATCTTAAGCATCTACAAGCTTCAAACTGGAGCTAGGATCTGACCAAGGTCATTCTTTAGGTTGTCAGGAAGGCCGTGAAGTCTACAGGGTGGCCTCCCTGCCCAATGCAGCCCAGCTCACTCTCTCCTCTTGGTACCAGCTCTGGCTCTTGTTCACATCCCTGGGCTCTCTAACACACACACACACACACACACACAGATACACACCGCCCATCCCTAGCTCTCTGCCCGCCCAGTTGTCTCTACTGGGAACATTCTCCCCTGTGATCCTCTACACATCCCTTGTTTCCTTTCTAAAGCTCTCCTGAACCCTACATTTGTCAGGTTCCGGGTCAAATGTTACAGTGCCCTGTGCTTTTCCCAGTGTCTATGGGAGCTAGAATTAATAATGCACTTGGAATTACTCCTAGGCAGAGCAGAAGCCCCGACCATCTCTTTTGTTTGCCCTTCATGGTGGAGCCCAGCTTCTCCACTGCCGCCTTTCTAGAGTGCCAGTCTCTGGAAGAGGCCACCTGAGGTACAGTGGGATTGAAGCCAGCCCCTGTGGAGTCAGGCCACCAGTGTCAAAGACGTTTCCAACATCTGTGCAGTATGACATTTTTATAAAAGCTGCGCTTCGCTTTGGGGAAACCGTGGGTCATCACAGCTCCAGCAAATGAATACAAGCTCGTATTTCCAGAAAGTTGGCTTTAAACGGGAGCCTTCTCCAAACATTTAATCTATGAAAGGTTTCTATTTACCCCCAGGAGCTTTTCAGGGCCTCGGGGGTTGATGGGAAGCAAGCAAACCAGCAAAGAAACAAAGGAGGACACAAAACCTCACGAAACTCCACTGCTACGGGGCTGTGTACTCATCAAATCGGGCAGCCTCTCAACGAATGAGGTGGCTCTCTCCCTTCCTGGTTCTGTCTTTCTGGCTAAATCAGACCTCGGCTAGAGTATTGGACCCAGCAAAGCTAATAGAAATGTCCTGAGTGAGCCGACAGACAGGCCAGTGAATGGCACCTCAGTTCCATCGTCCCTTATTTGTGGTCACTTGGAGACTTCTGCAGGAGCTGGGGGCCCAGGTTGGAGGGGGCATAGGTGGATTGGAGGGATGGGGCGGGTAGAAGATACTCATGTATTTCCTTTATTCTTTCTTCCTCCGTGGTACTGGGAGGCTTCATCTTCTGAAGCGTGGGTAGTATTGGAGCTGCCCCTCTTCCTTCCGGGAGAGCTGGCCTCTCCTGAAGTGCTGGCATCTGGTCCAGAGACTCAAACTGTTAGAGGACTCAGAGAGAGTTGTCTGACTCAATCTGGGCCAGATACTTGACTGAGGATTTGGAAACAAAATATTCTTCTGAACCAACCAGGCTGAAACGATGGGAGCTGGCACTGTGCTCTTCAAAACAGAAAACAAGAAGAGTAGGTCTTCGGAGAGGAAACACAGACGATGCCCCCAAAGCACAGAGAACTCTCTGGGCTCTAGGGCCTTTCTCGTGCCTCCATGGAAACCCCGGGGAGCAGCAGGGAGAAGAACGTCCCCCACCCCCACCTGTGGTATCCATGTTCTGATACCCAGGACCTACAAATACGTTAGGTTGTGTGGTAAAGGGGAGGGAAGCCTGCCGGTCAGCTGAAGTCGGGAAGTTTGTCTGGGAGGATCCAGGCAGACCCAAGGAAATCACCAGCATCTTTAAAACTGCAAGGTGGAGGCACGTGGAATGTGCTGAATCCAGAGAGACGCTGTATGTCTACCTCCCAAGATGGGGTCAGAGGTTACCAGCCAAGAACTTCCTGTGGTTTGCAGAAACTAGAAAAAGCACACACACACACACACACACACACACACAAATGGGTTCATTCCTAGAATTTTCAGGAACATGGTTATGTTGATCCCGTGGTTTTTAGCCCAGTCTGAAAGTCAGTTTTCTGGACTGTAGAACAGGGAGGCGATCC